GCTGCTGTTGTTGTTGTTGGTGGTGTTGTGGTTGTTGTGTTGTTGTTGTTGTTGTTGTTGTTGTTGTTGGTGTTGGTGTTGGTGTTGTTGTTGTTGTTGTTGTTGTTGTTGTTGTTGTTGGTGGTGGTGGTGGTGGTTGTTGTTGTTGTTGTTGCTGTTGTTGCTGTTGTTGTTGTTGTTGTTGTTGTAGAAAAATAGTTTGGAGTATGTTTTTGGACCATGTTTTGTCAATTTTTATGTTTCGTCCAAAACCTGCCTGGCAGGAGGACACGCCCGACCTAAGCCAAACCCCGCTCGGTCCAGTTGAATCCCGACTAATGCGTCTTATCCCCGGGCTTCATCCAGCCTGATGGGGGTTCCAGCGCGGATCCAAGAAATCCGCGAGGACCTCCGAGTTTTGATGTTTATGTTATTGTTCGTTCCTCTGAGAACCCCTACCCCTAATAACACGATGGAGACGTAGCCTCACTGTTCATGCCATTTTTCGTTCCCTCAATCCGGTTAAATGTCCCCTTTTTTTATCGGGCCTGATGATCTTTGGTCGTTCTGGCGAAGATCTCCCCGGAGGTGGCCTGCTAAGAGAGGGGCGCCTGCGCAGCAGCGGTCTCGTGGCCCCTCGTCCACGGGGCGGGCGGGGAGGATCTGCAGCTCTGCCCACCCGTGGGACCCAGCGCGGCCCCGATCAGGAGGTCGTCTCTCTTTTGGGAGGCAGTGCAGTGCACAGCAATACAATGTAGCAGTGATGATCATCATCAGCATCATCAGCATCAGCATCATCATCGCAACCTGTCAGAGCAAATCAAATCAGTGCAAGTCGACGCAAAGCAGTGCCACAGCAATCAGCTCCAAGCAGAGAGAGGAGCAAGGCAAATCGAGTAGCTCAGTTCACCTCTGCCCGCATGCTCCTCACTCCGATATGAGTTCGTCTTGGCGTGCGGCTGCAGTCCGTGCGGTCTGGGTCGAGGCCAACGCACGCGATAGTTCGCAGAGGGGTGGCGATTGTCAGCGTGGCTGGGGGGACGTCGCAACGGGGCTGCAACGGCCAGGAGGCCATCTGTCGAGTCGGCTGCCCTCGTGCACCTGCCAGCAGGACCCGTGGCCAAAGTCATGTGTAGTGATTCGGATCAAGTGTTTTGCACGCTTCGTATTTCGGTGTGCCCTGCCAACTTGATGACGACATGCGTGAGCTTACATGCCGTGCCTCGCTCTCACACATTGAACAGCATTTTATCCAGCATATTGCACCAAACGTGATTCAGGGCAGGCTATGCGTTCCGCGCTCAGTTCGAGGACGTAATGACGCGTATCCACTTGCTTATGTGTGCTCGAGCTATAGCACGCGTGGAACACACCATGGCGAGGTTGCCAAAAATCGCATTCTTTCTGCGCTCGTCAGATAAAGGAGCACTCAATGGGCTGGCCATGCGACCGTACCGAGTGATGAATCCAAGACTCACCTCGTTAGTCAATGGAAGGGCTGTGGGATTCTCGAGGTCTGACAGCGTCTCGTCTTCAACAGGCGTTCATGTTGATCCTCTCTACTTGCCGCAGTTATCCTCCGCAGCGTCCTCTACCTGCAATCCCGACGTGCGACCCCTCGCGTCTTTTCGCAGCCCCGTCATCGTCACTCTTCCACCATCCGCACACTGCTTCGTGTACCAATCGTGGCTCGATGCCCCCCTGCACGGTCAAAGGCCGAACTGCAGCGCAGTACACGTTTCAATGGTGGCCTTTCTTTCCAGAAGCCCCTCTGCAGCGCCCAAGTCGCTAATAACATTCTGATACTGGCTGCTTCGATCGGAGCGCTCGAGGTCATCGATCCGGTCAACCGCGATCCCGCTTTGTCAGACACCGGGCTTCTGCAACTCACAGAGTCGGCGCCTTGTCTTCACGAGGCACTCCAAGGGGCGCGTATGCTTGTACGACACGGAGCTGCAGCTCAGAGAGCTGCAACACACAGAGCTGGCACAGCGCCGCCTCCGCAAAAGCGCCGCCACCGGCACGACACGATGCCGGGAAGCAGCGCGCCGTGCGCTGGCAGGCAGCAGTGATCACGACTGGACGCAGTTCGGCTCCGACGGGCTTACCTTGGACAAAACCCCGCGGGAAGGACTGAAGGCGGAGGGACATTTTGAGGGAGGCTCAAGGCTTTTTTTTGGCGCTCGCACAGACCTCCTCTTCCTCCTCCTCGCTCCTCCTCGCTCCTCCTTCTCCTCCTCCTCCTCCTCCTCCTCCTCGCTCCTCCTCCTCATCCTCCTCGCTCCTCCTCCTCGCGCCTCCTCCTCGCGCCTCCTCCTCGCGCCTCCTCCTCCCCCTCCTCCTCCTCCTCTCCTCCTCGCTCCTCCTCCTCCCTCGCTCCTACTCCTCCCTCCTCGCTTCCTCTCCTCCCTCCTCCTCCTCCTCCTCCTCCCTCCTCCTCCTCCTCCTCGCGCCTCCTCCTCCTCCCCCCTCCCGGTCTTTGCGTGCGCCGCTTCCCCAGGGGCGCGGCGCGCGCACCGAG